GATTCAAAACGCACATGCTTGCCTATGTGCACATTGGTTGGTTTGTGAATCAGCTACATTTTGGCTCTGAGTTCAAGAAGTCGTACGATCAGCTTGTTGGCCCAAATTCAAATAAATTGCAGTTCAGAATGAAATTAACCTCCAAGTCTAAATAATACCATAATTTGTGAATGTGCTGTGAAAATACTAGTAAGTGTCCACGTACATTGGGCTATATATTTGTTGGGAAAAACAACATATGATATTTAAAATATAAGCACAATCTAAAATATTTTCATTTTATAAATTATGAATAAATAATTCCACATAAAAAAAAAGTGTACTTAAAAATAATTGTTGCAATACAAGGCAATTTCTTTTAAAACAGGTGTACAACTCCAGGATTCATTATATCAAGAAGAAAGGAATAGAGCTAATATTGTTTTCATGACTGCTGACGCACTAGTCCGGGACTAGAAAAAAGCTTGTTACTGCATGGGGTATGTAATAACTGGCAATTAAAAACTAAATAAACCAAGCTGTAAATTGGTTATCAAACTGATGGCATGTAGAGTACTGGAAAGACTCCAACAAGATACTTTAAATTTAATCTTGGCATCATTGGTGCCCAATCTTAGCTAATGGTCTTCAAAGAATTAATAGTGTCAAAATGCTTACCATTAGATTCTTCTATTAGATGTTACGAGAGAAGTAAAAATCCAGATGGGCAAAAACACTATTCAATTAAGTAAGAAAAGATGCAAGCAAGGCTCTACGAAGCCATGTAAAGACAAAAATATATATTTAAAAAAAAATAAAAAAATTTCATTGCTTTTTTTGTGGCTTTAAATTCTGGGGCCTAGGGAAAGAATAGTTGTAATTAATTATTTAAATTTCACAGTTTGGCCATGTTGGTATAATCTTCCAACATCTATATATAATGAATAGATTAAAATGTATTGATATTATTCAAGCCTCAGTAATCTGGATTTCTCTGATTTCTTTTTCACTGTGTAAATCTTTAGACTGTGTGTAAAATATTTATGAAAACTACAAAATATAGTTCTCAAGACTACAAATATTTTGCCATATAAAAGTACATTTGTTCACAGCTTACAATTTATTATGTTTTACTGAACTGACTAGTTATTCTCTGGTTTCATCCAGTTGTTAATGTATAAAAAAAAATCAACCAATTTTCCACAAACAAATTATTTTTTATTAAAGTTGCTTTTCACTCTTTCTGCCCATATTACCGTATTGTTTAAAGAAGGAAAAGAACCTGGTCTTTGGAACGGTGTGCCTGCTATAGGCCTATGTCTTCTTTAAATATTGACTCCTAATTATTCAGCAAAACACTTTCTAGGCAAATACAAGCTTTTCTATTAGAGCCAGTCCATCCAGGTCAAATCTGTTTTATTCCTGAGAGGGAAGTAGAGGGCCACACCTTAAGTTTATTTATTAATCTCTATTTGATATAATTAGAGGTTTTTTTTATGCTTCTTCTTTCCATGGATGCTGACCAGATGGACTGGCCCCACCTATTGGCTTTGCTCCAGTACATTGTTTTGAGAGAGAATGATATCATGGAATATCCTCTTTGCAATGACAATGGAAACCTTATTAAAAACTTTAGGACAGAACATAAAGTTTAAGAGATTTCAATTTGGCCACATGGAACATAAAGTTGCAGTCTATGCCGATGACATGCTTTTCTTTGTAGACAAACCTTGTCTCTCTCTGTCTAGTCTATTGCTAATTTTTAGTAACCACTGATTAATTGATAATTTTCAGTATTCTTTTTAAGCTGCTAACTTGCTAAGCGTCCTAGTATGGCACATGACAGCCTACCCACAAACTCTAGCTTTTCTTGCAGACAAATGGCATGTCTTTTTTTTTTTTTTTTTTTTTACAATCACATCCACAATACCACCTATCCACTGATCGTCCCTCAAGCCTGGATATTTCCTCCCAGGATGAGTTTGCTATTAAGTGCAGTCTTCCAACATTCAACTCTTGCTTACTTCCTCAATTAGTTTGGCATGTTCTTATTCACTGCCTGCTCTGATCCTGACTCTATCATGTCCCACTGGCACTACTTTCCCTGCCTACTGTCGCCCAGGAGATTTCACCCATCCATATGCTTTTACTGCTCCAAGGCCTTCATTCTTTCTTTGCAGATTTTACCTTTCTTCATCTGTCCTCACTTGCCATCCTACTACCATGGCTTTCAAACCTGTCATTTACACTCTCTCCCCAAGACATTGATTTAGACTCAGCAGTTCATCCATATGCTACCCTTTGCTAGCTCCTACACTCCATTATTTATTTACACAATGCAAATAAATCAGGAGGAAAGGGAAGGGGGTTAATGGGTAGATTCACCAATTGTAGATTAAAGTTCCCTCTTCCTTTAACAACTTTAGCACAGTTAAATGTATCCGTTAATGCTGAGAATGTGTTCTGTATCTTCTGTAAACTTAAAAATTGTATTGGGTAAATGCAAATATAGGCAGTGGTAAGCAAAAAAAAATCACATTTTCACTGTTTGGCTTGCAGAGAAGCTCATGCGTATATATTACTCGTATGTGGCAATGTAAGGGGTGCATAATGTTGAAGGATAACTTTGCGCAAACAAGACATTCTATGGATATGGTAGGCATGGGAATTGTGCATTTTGCTCAACAACCATCGCTCCGCCTCCTTTGCACATTATAAAGGTTGTGGCTGCCAAGAAGCAACACCACATCGCAGCACTTGCTATTTGTCTCTATTTGTCTCTATTTTACTATGTGGTAAATTGTTATGTTTGTGATTGCTTAGTGCAAGCATGTCAAACTTAAATGCTAACACTGGCCAAGTAAACAAGGTTTAAGTTTATGTGAGCCGCAAAAAAACAATAACTTCAGTTTTCATAGAAACGTAGGTTTATTTGAAAAGTACAGTATAAAAAAAGTTGCCTAACTGACATTGGATGTCCTCATGCTCAGGGCTTCAAAGTAAACAAAAGAGCAAATTTCTTTTACCTTTCAGTTCAACTACCTTGACATATTAAGAAAAGTTTGGTAATGAGACTGAAATGGTGAATGTATGCTGTTGCACATCTGTAATTATTACAAGATAACACATTATGTTATCTTGTTAATTTTAAATACATATGAGTGTGTTCTTCACTTTGGCTGAGCTCATCAAATTTCCTATGGGTAAGCATCGGGAGGCTATTGTACATGTGTGGCAGACCAAATTTCATACACAGCTCCGTCCCTCCCTCCCTCCCTCCCTCAAATGAATATACTGCCCCCCTTCCCCAATTTAATACACTGTCACCCCCCTCCCTACCCCAATTTAATACACTGCCCACTCCCTCCCCCAATTTAATACACTGCCCTCCCCCCAATTTAACACACTGCCTCCCTACCACCACTCTAATACACTGCCCCACTCCCTCCACCAATGTAATACACTGTCCCCTCTGTCCCTCAAATTAATACACTGCCCTCTACCCAATTTAAAACACTGCCCCCCCAAGCACTCTAATACACTGGCCCCCTCCACCACCAAAATTAATACACTGCCCCCCCTCCCATCACTTTAATAAACTGGGCCCCTCCCTTCCCCAAATTAATACACTGCCCCCTCCCTCAAATTAACAGACTGCCCCCTCCCTCCCCCAATTTAATACACTTGTCCCATTCCTTCGTCAAATTAATACACTGACCCTCCCGAATTTAACACACTACACAGGAAAGATCAGATGCTTCTCTGGCACTATGAGCAGGAGGGAAGGGGGAGTGGCTGGCCTGCTCTGCAGACAGACAGCCACTCCACTCTGCCCTCTTGTGGCCATGGGAGGAAAGAAAAGAAGCAGATAGGAAATTGCTTTCTTGTCTTGCAGCTGGTCGCAGCCACAGTACAAAGTGGCCCCAAGACAGGCGGGCCACAAATATATTCTTTGTGGGCTGCAAGTTTGACATACTTGGCTTAGTGAGTAATCCCAAAACTACCTTTCTTTGAAGATTACTTTTTCAGCTTTCATATGTAGGCTTTTGAGAGTGGCAGGTCTCTATCTTATAATATTGCCAAGTTATGATTCCAATTTAAACATTATTTTGTTTTATGTACCTCAGATTTTTATGTATTCTTTCAGTTGCAATAATGCTTATGCATACAAAAACACACGCACTGTCACACATGCTGATACACTGACACATAGAAGCAAGCAGTGAACCACACCTAGATACACTGACACACATGTACATAGACAGACACACACACTGACACACATGCAGATATACAGATAAAAACACTGACAAACATGCAGAAGCACAGACACATAGATACAAACACTGCCACATATGCAGATGTGCAGACACCCAGATGCAAACACTGCCACACGTCTATGTAGACAGATACAAACACTGACACACATAAAGATACAGACACACAGATACAAACACTGCCACATATAGATACAGACACACACACACACACATGTAGATACACAGAGACACAGATAAAACACTGCCACACATATATATATATACACACACTGACACACAAACAGATGTAAATACACACAGATACACAGACATACAGATGCACACACTGACACATATAGATACAAACATTGACATACAAATACAGAGGCACAAAGATATACAGAAACAGATACAAACACTGACACACATGCAGATACACAAACACACAGATACAAACACTGCCCCACATGCAGATACACACACATATACACACATGCAGATATACAGACACACACCCTGTCACACATGCTGATACACTGACACATGTGTAGATAGACAGACACACACACTCACACACACATGTAGATACACAGATAAAAACACTGACACACGTGGTTTGAACGCTGACCGTGATGGCAACCTAAAGTCAGAGCTCCGCACCCGAGGCTCATAATACCGCCCTGTAAACAGCTACAACCCACACATAAGGCACAGAAACGGACCCCTACATCATTCCAGGCGGAAGTCCACAAGCTGATACGGATGTCCAGCCGCAAGCCTGCCAAAAAGAGCCACAAAGACTCTCCTTTGGTGGCTGACATGCTTACCTCGCAGAGGCATACCGCACAAGGTGCGCCCATGTACTCGAGTCCCAGCGACATGGAAACCACTTGCCCTGCTATCACGCTGGGTATTCCCTCGGAGGCCTCTTGCATCCTTTATTCCCTGGCAGAGGTAAATGGGATTCTGGCGGCTGAAATTGCGCACACAGAAGCGGAAGTGAAGGAGGAGGTAACCGCATTGGAGCCCGCACCACGGTAATTGAACAGCGCATGGCTCGTATAGTTTCGGACCATAATGGAACCGCAACACTTACCAACACCCTCCGGCACAGAATCACAGATTTGGAAATAGAAGTGGAAGATGTCTCTAACAGGTCCCGGCGCAATAATCTGCTCCGCGGCCTACATGAAACAGTGGGAGAAGCGGATTTGGAATCTTTGAGTATTGTGAGAATCGTGAGTTTTTGCCAAAGCCTGCCGGACATCCCCGAACACCTTTGGCTCGTTGACAGAGGCCCAAAAAACAGCCCTCCCAGGGATGTCATCATGAAGTGGCATTACTTCAAAATTAAAGAGGCCATATTATGAAACAGCAGAACGCAACCCTACAGATGGGACAGAACTGAACTACAATTATACCAAGATGTCGCCACGGCTACGCTTCTTCACAGATGGGAATGGAAACCGATCACTGAACTGCTATGGCAAAAAGGATATCACAGTTACAGATGACCTGCCACTACCGTCTAGCTGCTCAGAAACGCTGACACCTTTGCCTGACACCTGGGAAGACCGACACTTGAACCACAAACTCATAAATTCATGCCTCGGAAAATCCTGGATATCAGGCCGCACGCAAGCTATTATCTAATTTTGTTTAATTTATAATGTTATGATTCAATGACGGCCAGCTTGGGGTTCAGTTAAACTGATGGAATATGTATGGGATTGAGTTTAATGTTATCATTGACACGGGGGGGGGTGGAGAGCTGACCTGGCCCATTGCAAGGTGAACAGGGCCAAGTGGTGTAGCTAGGTGTACGGGGGTGGGGGAGAGGGCGATAGGCTACATACATAACCAACTCACCACTAGGCATAGCTGTAAGACGGAAGGGATGCTTCTCTTATTATCTTCTTTTTATATATACAACCTCCACGCTTTATTAATAGCTAAAAATACACAAAATATAACAAACATAGCAGAGGTAAATCAAACGGTAACAATGGTGGAAGAAAACTGTTAACGGGACACAACTGTGACGTATGTGGCAAAGGTAATGTGTATGGGCTACTACATTGCGTAGTAGATACTCGGTCACTGACCATGAAAGGGCAATCACTAAAATGTCCAACAGCACTAAGGTTACGCTAACACTGTTATTTTATTTTTAACACCTTATTAATGTTTACGCACCAAACACCCCGACCCCACAGTTTTGGGCAGACCAAGAAACACTAACTAGGACTCTCCCGAGGGTGATCTTAATACTTGGAGGGGATCTAAATGCGACACCTTGCCCAGCGTCTGACCAAGGAGGGAGACAACACCTCCCCCGCTCACAAAACAGGGGGGACAGGACAAACCTTTAAACAAATTCATAGATGACACAGGCTTCCTTGATCCATTGAGGATCCAGCACCCGGGGGAGTGGTTTTAGACGTTCTACACGGCGGTGCACACCACCTATTCACGCATCGACCTATTACTCACTAACCAACAGGGTATGCAATGGATCAAAACTTTCACAATAAACCTTATCTAATGGTCAGACCACGCAGACATTGAAGTCACTATGGATCTCACAGTTAAAGAAGCAGGAGATTACACATTACTTCCAGACCAATGACACTCCTGACATGTCCCCAACAACGCTATGGGCAGCCCACAAGACCGTAATACGTGGCCTGCTCATAAAGATGGCAACACAACAAAAAATAAAAAATATGAAAGACTGTCCGACCTACAAAAACAACTGCGTAAAACAGAACTGCAACAGAAACAGACAGTAACCCAAACCACGACTAGAGACCTGAAGGAAATCAGACGACTGATTAGGGAACTGATAATTGATGACATTAGTAAGGAAGTGGTCCAAACAAAAAGGCTATTCTACGAAAAATATAATAAAATGGACACACTCATTGCAAGGAGACATACCACATCATCGATAATTGCCATAAGAAACAAACAGGGAATGGTCCTTACTAACCCCAAAGACATCAATGAAGAATTCACACAATTCTTCACCACAGTATGTAGCCACTCCCCCTCACTGACAGGAGACAACAGCAACTATGCGGCAGCTGTCTCGGCATTCCTGGATGAGGCCCAGCTCCTGCGACTATCAGACGACCTGACAGCAACCCTGGGTGCACTCATAGAGCTAGACAAAGTTGATTGAGCAATAGCCGGGCTCAAAGGGAACAGGGCCCCGGGACTTGACGGGTTCAACGGTGCCTATTACAAGGCCTTTAAGGAAGACCTAATGCCCCACCTGACCAATATTTACAAACAGTGGACAACAGGAGAGGCGCCTAACCAGGACCTTTCGACAGCAGATGTAACCCTCCTCCCCAAACCAGGCAGAGACAGCACACAGGTAGCTAATTACCACCCCATCTCCCTCATAAACTTTGACTTGAAAGTCAATGCTAAACTGCTGGCCAATCGTCTGAACCCCCTCCTCACCAAATACATACACACAGACCAGGTGGGCTTTGTACCCACAAGACAATGATAAGAAAACATGAGGAGAGCAGCTGGTCTGATATGGTGGGCTGGGAGAACTCAAACGCCTTCTCTGGTCCTTTCTCTGGATGCAGAGAAGGCGTTCAACATAGTCCAATGGCACTACTTATTCACACTTCTAGATGCACTTACCAGACACCTTTGTAATGGCAGTAAGAGTCCTATACACCAACTCCAGAGCGCAAACAATGATACTGGGAGCAGCACCAAGCCCTTTCGGACTGAAAAATGGCACATGCCAGGGCTGCCCCCTATCCCCCTTCCTATTCATACTGGCCCTTGAGCCCTTGCTGCACCTGATAAGAGCTCACCCATGAATAACGGGGCAGTAGAGGAATTGAAAGTATCTGCATACGCTGATGACATCTTACTAACCCTCACCGACCCGAAAGAATCTGTCCTGTGCCTCCTTGAACTATTAGAAACATACAAACAAGTCTCAGGATACAAAATAAATGTAGCTAAGTCAGTAGGCATGCCCCTTGGGACGTTGCTTGGCTAGGACAGACGTCTGACCTGAAAATCAGCCCCCGGCCTATCAAATACCTAGGCATCAAACTGACACTTAACCCTGACGACCTCTATGCTGAGAATCACCAGCGCATGATAAACGCCCTTCTAAAAGACCTAGATAAATGGCATGAGAAGCCCATATCATGGATAGGAAGATTACACAGTGTAAAAATTAACCTCCTACGGCGCCTCCTGTTCCTTTTTCAAGCATTGCCAATAAAAGTAACCTAAAACGCTACAAACAGCGACAGATGACTTAATCTGGGCTCGAAAGAGACACAGAATAGCAAGACAAACCCTGTGTACCCCTAAAAGCAGAGGAGGCCTGCTCCAACCCACAGGTGGGTTGATTTGGAAACACTACTCATGAGTACGGATCTCCCACAATTCTGGATTTGGGTTCCCCGAGCTGATAGCCCAGAAATTTGCACGAGCTGCCCATCAATCCTGAACTTGATCAGGATATGGGACTTCACGGCCCACAAATACTCACTTTCCCACCCAATATCACCACTAATGCCATACCTCTGAAATAGGGCATTTAAACCCAGACTTCAGGTGCATTGAAAACCAGCGCTACCACCAACTATACCAGGCAGGTACATTTAGAACCTTCCACAACTTAAAAACCCTAGCTCCGCTGACTACTAAAGATCACTTTAGGTATATTCAACTAAGGGATTTTGCTGGACGTCCACAAGTACGGACCGCGGCCAGGGTCAAGCCAACCTTCTATGAAACACTATGCGTGTCTGACGGGCCATTTATGACCAGCTATTGCTCAGTCAACTTTGTCTAGCTCTATGGGTGCACCCAGGGGTGCTGTCTGGTCATCTGATAATCGTGGGAGCTGGGCCTCATCACACTCCTATACACACAATTGAGCGCGACGACAGGGGATGCCCAAACACACCGCAAACATCTTTCAATGGGAGACAGAACTACAACAGACCCTAGAGATTGGGGACTGGCAAGACATCTGGGAGGCAGCAGCAAAGGCTTCCATGTGCGTACTACACCAAGAACAATGCTATAAAACACTCATGAGATGGTACACCACACCAGTCAAACAATGTAGAATGGGCAAAACACCTACAGATACCTGCTGGAGGGGATGCGGAGAGAAGGGAACATATCTACACATGTGGCGGACCTGCCCAAAAGCGGTGCGATTCTGGGAGGGTATGAACCGACTCCTGACAGAGGTTCTGAACAGACCAATTGAGCCTGATCCACGGGCTTTCCTTATAGCAAAACCATTGGATGACCTAACTAACAGAGAGAAAAAGCTGTGGCACAAACATGGCTACAAATTGACATGCCACAAATGGACAGGGTCACTCACAACATCAAAGAGGCACATCTTATGGACAAACTCACAGCGCAAATACAAGACATATATCCACTATTCCTTAAAACCTGGGATCCCTGGGAGGACTACATTAAGCGCTGAAAGACATGACAACACAGAGGCACAAGCTACCCAGCCCCGGCTGGAGATGACCACACGTCCCCCCCCCCCGCCCCCCCAAGAGTTTACTCTTTTCTCCTAATCCCCCTTCCCCTTTTTTCTTCTTGCTTCTTATTCTAACTAACCTTATTCTTCTTAAAACAATTCTTAAAAATGGTTCATGCTTACATGGGATACCCATGATTGAGCTACAGGCACAGATACACTAAAAATAGACCCAGAGCAAACTCGCACACTACTAGACACTGAGGAACGGGCGCCAAATAGCCCTTGACCTGGCGCAACTACCACGCTTTTAAGTACAAAGGATGTATGTCCGCCAGACTAATTTGCTTAGTGTATGTACAAATTGAAAAACCTGTATGATGCTCTGAAGTATCTGCATTTACCAGTACTGTGCAATATGTGCATTGACACTTGCCATGTTTGTACAGCTTACTATGCTTAATTGTACAAACGAATGTTTACATACCCTGCTTTCTGTTATGGTCACTTGATATGCATGACTTGACAAATAAAGAATTAAAAAATATAAAACAGTGACACGTATGCAGAAGCACAGACACTTAGATACAAACACTGACACACATGCAGATGTACAGACACACAGATGCAAACACTGCCACACATCTATATTGACTGATTCATACACTGACACATATAGATACACAGACACATACTGACACACATACAGATACACAGACACATAGATATAAACACTGACACACATGCAGATACACAGAAACACAGAAGTAAACACTGACAGACATGCAGATACACAGAAGCAAACTGACCAACACCTAGATACACAGATGCACAGATACACAGAAGCAAACGGACACACCTCTAGATAGACAGATACACACATTGATACACAGGCAGATACACATATACAAATACTGACACACATGCAGATGCATAGACTCACAGATACAAATACTGCCACATATGCAGATGCACGGACACACAGATACAAACAATGACATACAAAAAATACACAGACCTAGAGATACAGACACTGACACATATACAAGTACAAAAACTACATAGATACCGACACAAAAAAAACAAACAAAGACACACATACAGGTCAAACTTTCAGCCACCCTGCAGTTTCCTACCTTCTGGAGCAGGAGGG